AGATATATACCTTACGTTGGAAGCGCGTACATTGATCGGGCTTCGGGATACGCCCGTCCCGTTTTCCCATGGGGCTCTACGTAGAGCCTCGCAGGTAGATGAATAGCGGTCAGGAATATATACTGAAATGATTTCTGGCGCGGAAATGGTGACTTAAGTTGTCATTTCTGACGTATTGGTCGTTGTCAGTCGGTCAACCTAAACGCGGGTTTTGCCGCACCTGAATCCCAAAGTCGCATTATTAAGCCATCCAGCGTTATTATTCCAAACGCCACAACTGTTGGGCCACGAGTCGTTTATCCTGTCTGCTCCAATCGGGGGAGCAGATATCATACCCTTATCGGTGAATTCAGCACTAGCATGCGTCGATATTTCCTTCCAGGTATGGCGACTTTAAAACCCAAATATTACCAGGTACAATACACTCATATTTGTTTAACGACAAACAAGAGGAAGGAGGTTTGGGTTATTTCTGGCTTTCGTCATTTGAGAGGCATATACTTACCAAATATATCTTTTGTTTGGTCGGTTTTTGAACTGCCCATGTGGGAGGCCGTCGCGTCCAGACGGATCCTCAGGAGGGCAGACTACCCGACTTTTTTGGTGTCTTTATGACGGGCTTCTGGGTAAATAACTGTTATCATGTCTACGTTTTTTGATAGTGGTTAAAGAGGTCCTTATGTACAGGTGCAAGGTCAACCATGGTTGAATTAGTGTGATATCTGCGTGGAATTCTACTTAGCATCCGAAGAGGTTGGTTAGGACGCCTGTCGTTATTATACTACAAATTATCCCTCCTCCTTACAGTCTTGACGGACAAGTAAAATCGCAAAAGAAGGCCCCAGATAACGCTAACTAACATCATGACCTAGTTGTAACCATAATGCTTGAATACACACAAACACTAAACTCAAACATGATAGTTAACCCAAACCCAGAAGAAATTTCGAACATTTTAGAGCAAGGGACGACAAACGTACAAGTCCTGGTTGGCGGATTAGATATAAACTAGGTGACCAACTGCGTTGACGTCTGAGTGCCAAAGCTTCTGAAATCCCGAAGACGTTTTACAGTGGCTCCTATCTATGCGCTGGAAAAGGTCAAGATTTGGTTTGTGTCCACCAAATGACAAACACACATTAGTTATTTATGTATCTGATTAGGTACGTTTTGCGTCATTATATTTGTGTTGTCAAATTGCGCACCTTCGACCCCATTTTTTAAAGGAGTTACCTTATTTAACATCGCTGACGAAGGACGGTTGTTTATTACATTCTACTTTAATCGTGGTCTGCACGATTCATTGGCAGATGGTGACATAGGGTGAATGAGTTGCGCGCACAACATCCAGGTCAGCCGCGGCACGCCTTCCTGCTTCCAGAGTGCCACTGCCTAATTTTGGTTTCATTATTTCCGAACTGGTACACGAGCATCATTTTCTGAGACATCTAGGATTATCGTTCTCATTTGTTATAAGTTTGGTAGAGACAATTTACATTTTGTTGAACTCAACGTAATTTAAAATAATCATTCACGTGACCAATCAGTGCTTTTGTTCTTGCAGTAATCGCCCTCACTTACTTCTCTGGTCACGGGTTTTTCCAGTAACTAAAAAATAACCATAATGTTATCCATTCGACGACAGTTGGTCGTTGAATAAATTTAATATACTGAGAGGTACTTAGTATTTTAGCGCTCTTTTCCGGTTTATAGTATAATCAAGTAGACCTCCTTGAAAGTAACTAAAGTGCATGCATGTGTGTGCACCTCTTAGTGATCTGAGGACGTTTTCTTATGTTTTGTAGGTGTGTGGAGGCAGTTTTGAATTGCCTTCACACTTCAGTTCAATCTTAATTTCTGCTTAGAAAAGTGAGCGCATATGTAAAGTAGTACGTCTTGTGACAGTGGTTTTTATATATGCTGGAGACTATAAAGTTTATTTTTGTGCTCTTTGTAAATTGGTTTACTTGTTGACAGTTAAGAATGAAGTAAAATACCTGATTAAAATACACAAATATTATTACTGTTTATCCTTCAAGACAAACTATTTTGCTTTCGACCTTATATATAGACCTACGTCAATACCGCTGGCGTATGCCTAATTTCGATAATTTAAACTGATGTCTGACCCCGTGACTTTTGTCCAGTGCATTCGTCAGCTAAATATTAGTTGTCCGAAAATGCTGTTGCCCTTGAAAGTATTTTTATGACAAAAGCCCGGGACATTTTTTCATTTTTTAACGCATCTCCTCCTAATTTATCATTCACTCCAGATCAGTTTATAGGCTGTCTCCCCTAAATATCATTTGTCAAACTTTATTTTGTGGTTTTTAACTCTAGTTAAACCTATCATAAAGCTAGGGCTGGATGGTATGCTTTTCAAATGCGTACCGTCTAATTTAAATATCCCCTTAACGCATTCCTCTGTGTTTAAAACCGAACTCGGGAACCATGAAAAGCAAATAGAAAGACAGAACAGCTTTTTACTCCTTTTAGCGGCGCTTTATACGCACAGTACATTTCACTCACGCTATTACTGCTTTATTATATCCAAAAAAGATAAATTGCGCCTTTGTTGGAGGTCAGCTCTGCCCAGTGGACCACACATGTGGGACACTGACAATAATGCCTGAGAACCGTTTTACGGAATGTAAAGTTCCCGGTTCGTCGGAATGCTACACGCAATCCCCATAAATTTCAGTGGCATACAATCGATTTCAGGGATCGTTCTTTCGTGGTTTTGCAGGCAAATTTACGTCGTAAAGGACGTGAAACGGAGCGCTCAAGTTCACTGATCTACCAAAAGCCATGTAAACGGTGCATTCGTTACGACGACCTTAAATGAGGGAGGTTTAAGAAGTTGAAGACAGAAATCGCAAACATAATGGAATACTGTTGCTTTTTAATTTCCTCAGAAATTAACTGCGAACTTGGAGTAGATTAGTTTATTCAAGGTCTATAGGCTCAGACCGTGAATTTTATGTATGAATGTTTGGGCCGAAGTCCATCAGCCGCAGCGAGCAAATGCGTAACATTCATTAACTGCCGACGGACAGCTAGTAGTATACTTTAGGATAAGGGGATTCAATACTAACAGTACTGGTACTAGCCAAAAGCCCATACACGCGTGTTTTGCCGATATTCTGCCGCTGCATGGGCTATTACTTTTGCTGCTAATATGGTATCCTCTTACTCTTAAATGGTTGAATACCTATACACTAAGACATATGGACTTGAAAATGAGCTTTGCAAGACTAGCAGAAGTAACAGCACTCAAAACAATGAATATTCATCACAATATGTTTTTTTTGAATTGCAAGGACTTTTTCCGTTCCTTTCTCACTTAAAAGCAAGATGACAAATTTGGCAATCAGGATAATTTTTTGGTCAGATAACTCACCTAAATTTAATAACTCTTGTAAACCTGCCAAAACATTGTTGTGCATTGTTCAGTATCTTACTACTTGCCGATAGGGCCTCGGGTGATTAAATGTCCGCAGAGGTCTTGGTCCTGCTCAAGATAAATGTTCGTTATTCTCGATGTTTTACACTATCTTAAGATTATCCGGTTTTTCATAGAGCACGATAAGAAGGAATGTATGAAGGAATTTTCTGCGAATTTACACACAGGACAGCTGAAGCGTTCAAGCTTAAACTATACTATTAAGGCTTAACTATCAAACCATTTCAACAACAATACGTTGAAGGAAGATAACCTTTTGCATAAGGACATCAAATAGTATCTTAGCCATATCCTCTAAGCAGACTGCTAGCTTTTCATACGAAATAAGTCTTCGGTATAAATCTATTGTGGTTCGATAGTCATTCTCTGAGAGAGACTGCTATAAGGGCTATAATCAGCGTCATTTGATTAACTAAAAACGCATAAACTTGATTTACATTAATCTTACCACTGTTTCTCATTTTGGCCTCATTTTGTTGCTATTTGCTATCACAGAGCATATAAAAGTATTTCGGTCCGTTGTTTATGGATAACTTGATTTCACTTTAAATGACTTTTTGTGAAAGTTTTTAGTTCATGAACATATTGCACCTCAAAGTGATTTCAACACTGGCCCTACCTGAGCACTAGCCAAAATTGCAGTCATGCGTATGGTATTTGTTCTTTCTCTGATACTCATTACTCTCCTGGGATAGTCCCGGAAAATTGTGCTCAAAAGCATTTTATCTGGGATTTATCTTTTTCCCGTTGCGAAATTACTTACTTACCATGAACACACATGTGAAAAGTTGGACAAATACACAGAAACCAAATCCTTCGCATTAACACAATGCGGCTGCAGAAAGTCAGAAAAACGCGCTTGCGTGTTCAACTGATGTCTGTCTTCAATTTTTATAAAACCACGTTTCTATGAACAAATATTCTGCCATGCGCCACTTGTTAACAAACGTACATATTATGGGGCTATTCCGTTAACGCTGACTTTATATGACTTAAATCTGCCTGAAATTTTTTTTATTGTTCCTAACTGTCATGTTCATTGATGAAGTTTCTACGGCATTAGTAAGTTACCAGTCCATACGTCACTTTAAAACGTTTTAGAGCAGATCCATTTTGTCGTATAACAATTGCAGACGTAAAATAAACTAGACCGTCTTGAGGCCGTGTTTATCAATACCGGCAGGTACTACGGTGATTGTATTATCTATAACAGGCCAGGTGGAAAAATCATATGCAGTCAAAGTGATTAAGATCCACTTTATTCTGCCAAAACTACCGCTATTCAAAAGGTCCCTCATTAATGTATGGTTATTCCACAGCAAAAAAGGTTTCAAGCTGTCAAAAATCAGTAAGAATTGCTAAATATTCCATCCGTTTGAAATCTTCGGGAAGGAATGTTAGGAAATCACAATGATTATAAAATTAAGATGGTAGTGAGTTTAAGGAGATGAAAAAATCATGCAAAGATAACCAGTTAGAAGGACGTAAGACAGATATTTGAGGAGTCCCAGACCGTGCTGCCCAAGTTTCAGGATCCCTACTTGGGGATATCCGCTGCCATGAATACCCGACCGCCATTGCTGCGGCCACCCATACTGCTCGATTGTCTTTTGACCGCTTCTACGGTCTTCTGGGCGTATTCCTCGTAGGCTGCTGCGAAGCCGGAACGCGTCGGTGATCGAACATCGCGGCGGCCACGTGTAGCTGGTGCATGATACACGCTTGCTGCCCCCTCACGCACAGACGCCGCGAAAATTTCACTCTTCTTCGAAACTCTGTTCCAGTTAGGCGAGGTCGCTGCTGCTCGGTTCTCACACTGTATACCCCTTTCCTGGGCCTTACGCGCAAGCTTTGAAATGAGCTTTGGGTTAGGCGGATGCAGACTTGGCTTCGGGGGTGCCTCATCTCGAACGGTACAGCGCGATGGTGATTGAGTCTTAATATCATCCAGTGCGTTAGTTGATTTTGTGAGCTCACTGCGATAGAGTCGGGGTGATGAGAAGAATTCGAAGTGACGAGTTCGTCGTGCAGGGGGCGATCCAAAGTACCGATAGATAGGTGGCTCGTAGGACGTGCTACTCTCGACCAGCGTGGGTCCTTCTGGTGTCCGAAACTCCGTGTCTACTGCTAGCTGGCGAGGTTGGCTTGTCGTAGGCATCCTTACACATTGAGCTGAGGAATTATTTACGTCGTTTGATGAAGTTATATTCTCACAGGGACTTGATTTTTTTCGATCTTCCTTCTGCACGCTTAGAGATTCCGGACCGATATGATTTTGTCGATTTGAATCAGGATGCCCACACTGTAGACAGACCTTACTGGGGGAAGAGAGCACCTCAGTCGGATGGTCATCCTGGAAATCAAGATTGGTCGTTTTTATGCCTTTTGGAGTATCGGTTTTTGTGATGTCGATATTTAGCACTTCTGTTTTGTTGTCTGTCGAAGGAGATAGTGGCGCTTTTTTATCAGCGTGCTCCAAGTCAATCGCCATCAAACAGGCAAAGACCGTCATTACCATGCTTCCTTTGACCTCTGTTATATCTTCAGGGACGGCATATATCTTGGCACCCAGACGCCTTGCCACGGCAACTGCGTACTGAGCATTCGACAGTCTTTCCTTCGATAAAAGAGGAAAGAAATCAGCAATAACAATGCCTGAGTCATTATTACAGTAGGATATCATCAGCTTTAAACTAAACAAAAAACTTAAATTGATGCAAATTCGGGATTTCAAAATGTGTGACGTTGGTCAATTCAGACGCTGATTTATAAGTCTTTGGCATTAACTTAAATGCCTTACATTAACTAAGCGAAAATTTGCGACAGTTTGCACTACTGCCAAATTAGTTTGGTATGTACTGACATTCGAAGGAATTTTCGACCTCATACTTATTGCCGGTACGTAGTAATTTCAATTTTTGTTAAATGCTCCGCAGCATCCGGTAGAGTTTTTAAGCCCGTGTCTGTGCCACGATGTAAATACCCCTTGATGATTTGTGTCTAGTCAACAAAACCAGGCAGCTTTATGGCAAAAAGACCGCCCTGCATTTTGAACGGGGTTTGGGGTTACGGTAGCATTGTTTCGAACTTCGATGCGGGGCGTTAAATTCGAGGCTTTGGGATTCCTCGTAGATTTCCAGATTATGCGAGTACCAGCCAAATTTCTTCTCGTTTTCTCAATGATGTGAGTGACGTATCATCCGAGCCCAAGTCTGGAAGTATTTTATTTATGCTGACGACTGCCTTTTAGCGTTAGGTTAAGGGATTAAGTTCGCGTTAACAGAACAACAAACATACGACCTAAGATCAAAAAAGTCCGAATTTAATTTTCAGATTTAACCTTCGAATTAAACTTCATACGAAAAGTCGACTTGAATAACTTCACTCAATGCTTTCTATAAAATAATCCTAAAAATATCGGCCTTCTTCGTTATGTAATCGGTTAGTGTTTGACGCACCATTTTAGAACTAGCTTTAAAAAGGTTACCCGGTGAACTTCAGTACTTCTAGTTATCCAAGACTTTTTTAAACTTCATAAATGTTGAGGACATAATCGTACCTTCAAATGGGACTTCAACAGGTGTGTTTATCAAATCTGCTTGAATGCCATTTGTAAGTATCTGTTTATTTGCCTTCAGTCAGATTTTATGAAACCAAAACCATTCTGACACCGGAACCGATGAGAACTACTTCGGACTTCGGTTAAATATCTCAAATCCCACTGAGTATTACGATGTCTACAATATCAAAGCCAAGGCCATCACATTTGTTCTGTGATTTCGCCCACCCATTTATTTCATGAACCCAAGAAGGATATGCGAGTACCTACTACAAATACCAGAAGGCAACAGGCCAACCAGCAGTCTAAAAGAAAACCGTTCTTTTATAAACCTCTGTAGGTCCAAGTTGTGCCTGTAAAAACTAGATCAAACTTCCGTGACGAGCCGATTCGCTATTCTTGCTGGGAGTTTCTCCCTATAAAAGTAGATGCGAAATTTGTCGCAAACTGGGAGATGATGAAGCAAAGCGCATATTTTGTATTTAACTATTTTCTGCTGTTTCCGCAGAAGAAATCCCCACTGGCAAATGCTTGATCAAATTACAGGTGAGAGTTGAGAAGGATGAAAGAGGCGGCTCTGGCCTCTCAGCATTGCACGCTCTGATAAACTAATTTTCCGAAACATTGTGTTTCCAGTTCTCTGTCTGCGCACCGACAAATCTAATTTTAAGTCTATTTGAGCAGGACTATGTGGATTTACATCTCATTTCTTCCGTCGCCTGTTTACGTTTTGGAGGACAGTTATTTAAAGGTGTCCAGACTTTTCTATTTTCTATTTAGTATACTTTATTTTGATGCCTCCTTTTTGTGTTTTAACCCATCAAGACACCCTTTTGAACAAAGACCTTACAAAATTCCAGTAAAACTAACTCTACGTTTGACGCAAAAAAGCGCAGACGTTGCTCAGTAAGTTGTAATAGTTTCGTAGGATATCTTCGGGCTGTTCTCGACTGCCTAAATATAATTCAGCCCTAAAATGCATGGATGTTTAGTAAAGGAGCCAGTAGTTAGAGTGGATTCTTTTCTTGAGAATTGTGAAAAGAAAACTATAGTCTTATACCATAAATTTGTTTCTCATGTGTCGAATCGAAGAACGTAATGTTAGCTGTTCTGTATTTATTCGGGAGTCGACGTGCTAAACAGCAATTTCTATTGAAGACTGGCGAGTGCACCTCTCAGGCATGGTTATCTAATTCTCGGGTATGTTCAACCTTTTGCCTGCTAACATCATTACTGGCTGGGCTTGGTTGCAGATTTTTAGAATTCCTGCACCGGTGGCAGACAAAATAGTTCGACTATCCCAATCACCACTGTTCAAGGAGAACTTAGAGATACCGGGAGGGGATGTCCACTCCGCACAGGAAGTCGAAGTTCAGTGGTATTAAGCACTGTCTTCTGGCCGCCTGGCAACAGTTTGCGTCATCTACACAGAGTCGGTAGCAGGCGATGGGTTCTGGAAAACCGATTGGCTGGTTTTGCTAATGCAGCATTCATCCGAAACGTCGATTACCCTCGGCGGATGTCGTCTTGGTCCCACACACCGAGCTGCACTATCGATGCACTATGCGAAACCGGGGGGACCAGATTGGCTAGTGACACTCGTTGAGCAGGTTGCGCAGAATTCAGACGAGCACACAACTAATGTTGTGCATGGCGACATGGTGGCACACCTCGTCAGCAACCACACCCAATTACGACACCAAGAGTCTGACAGGCTCGGGGAGTCGAATCGTGCGTGAAAGAGGAAGGAGAGAGGTCGGCATAGGGAATCCACCCCCAAGGCACTTCTGCGTATTTCTCCCTACAGTAAATCTGACGCGTTTGAGTCTATCACGGTGCACTAAGAGTCGTGTCTTGGAGGGCTGCCAATTGACAAGGCAACTCGATCCTTTTCATAATTGGGAATCAGGCTCAATAGCTTCCCTTTAACATGACGCTCTCACGCAGGTGAGATTCGATCCGTCTTCGTGTGTGGTACGCATATACGGGTTGTTTAGCTTTGTCAACAACCACGCCCTACCGTGCCTCCAGCCATCGTGTCATTATCTTACCACTGAAGCAAGATGAGTGAGCGAGGACTAAGTATGGTAGATACGATGAAAGTGCGCCTCACTATAAACTAATTCGCTTGCAAGTCACCATCTCCCGTCCGCTCCGTGGACCACACGATGAACGTCATCGTTCACGAAGATCGGATTGCACCTGCAAGCGGAAATCTGCAGTAGAACCAGGACCGTGGTCTTGCTTTCAGCGAGGACTCTCCGCGACTAATTTAGCAATTAGTAGTAATGGTGCCGATTCAAGGTTCCAGTAGAAATTACCTGTTACCGAATAAATAGGAACTCGTGCGCATTCAAAGTTGCTCTGACATACTCCCAGTTTAAGCATTTTGCTGTGGCCATTCTTCAGATATGTCAAGCAAATTGCTGAAAGATTTGCAAATTAAAATATCGTTTAGTTGAATCTTTGAAGTTGGTAGTACTTTATTCAGCTGCTTGTACAAAAATATGTACCGGGCCATACAGTCTACAATATGGCGCGCCACGCAAGATTTGCCAGTGGTATAAGACATCGCAGTAAGCCTACTGTCAAAAAGGTCGCCGTGAGTCGGCCCGAACAGTTTCTTGTAACCAATGGATGCACGGATGTGTTTAATGGTATGAGCTAGTGAGCCGAGTTAGTTCATAAACGCACGCCATATAGAAGTACCACCTCTGTATACCTTACCTTATTCGTGAGCGGTTTTAATCTTTTACAGGCGTTCTACCAGGTTCGGCAATAGAGATTCTATCTGAAATCTTGCAGGCAAAACAGGGAATCACTTACCTCGGACGTGTTGCCCTTATTTACGACAGAGTAATCCACGCAACCCGGCCGAATAGAATCCAACAGATCGATGATCAACAGACTCGTGCGCAGCTCGATATCTCCAAAACCGGCAGTCTTAGAGAGGAAACGAGCTTTATTTCCGAGTCTAAGGCGGTTGTTGGCCCAGTCGATTATTTCCTGCTCGGCTATGAGCGGCACACCCAGCACTGGAGATTGGGCCCGTGGATACGAGGGCTCGCTGCCCTTAGCTAGCCGAGCAAGCAGCGAGAGTGTATAGGCGCGCATCAACTGCCATAGCAATGCCAGAGTGGGTGTGACGAGGCCGTCTTTCAGGTCGGATCCAGCCACGCCTACCAAGCTGAATCCTGATCGTTTGCCGATCTCCACAATGTAATTGCAGTTTTCTAGTGGGGGAAAACACAACATAGCATTTGAAAATACTACTTCCAGCGAATAATTTGATCATACCTCCAGTTGCTAAATGAGGAAAAACGTTTGGTGAATTTAACCCACCATTGGTGGTGTTGTGATAACTCAGTTTCACACCACCGGTCTACTACGGCCTATATTTTTTCCAAAAAATTGCAAATGGTACACTGATGTGGGTTGGCAAATACCACCAGCAGGCCTGCAAAAGAAGGCGTCCGACGATCTGTTTCAATTCTTAGGTGGACAGGTTTTGGCGACTGATGACTGGCGCTATGACCTGACGACCGACAGTTTAATAGGCAGGACGGCAGTAACAATGTAAATGGTGGTAAAGGCTGTGAACCCTCAGAAGGCTTCGGGCAATTGGATAATTTTAGTGAAAATAAAGTGAATTAATTAAAAATTTGCTCAAAACTACCGATATTTTAGCTGGTTAGTCTATATTGTCTGTCCGAGTGTAAATACTTGTAACCAGTACACACAGTATTCTCCACCAGTCTTTATCAAAAAGACGAACCTTTTATCTTCTGTCCTTTGACACTACGCATTTGTGTGCTGCTTTATACAAGTCTAAGCGAAACCAATCTCGTAAAAATCTCGATCTTCATAAGCATTTTCAATAAAACTTCGCACTTAGCATAGGGGTCAATTCAATGGATTGCCTAAATTTGCAGGAAATTAAAATAGTAGATATGATAATGGTAATGATAGACAACCCGTTCTGGGGGTGGCTCTTTGGTGGAAACAGCCATTCGCTCTAAGTGGGCAGACGCCTACTTTTGGCAGAAACTAGCTAATCGTGTCAGAGGACAGATAAACATAAGTGATAATACGCTGCACACTGTATCCGCTGTGGTCGATGTATGTGATTAATTAACCCGTGGCTGCTAATTCAATGTACCTTGAAGACTTCCCTGTGCTATTCACTTTAGCGAAAATGGGCTAGCTAATTTTCCGTAACCCCGTTCAGTTTGTGGTAAACTGGTCCTTGGCATCTGTTTTTTTCTAAATTCTTTTGCGAATAAAAGGACCACTCAGTAATCTGATAACCTGTACTCAAAACAGTGATCCCAACTTCATTTTATAGTGATTGACTGCGGATTTTGAAAACTAACTTCATTTACGCAGACATTCCGTAGAATGTGCGCAACTTTGATTATATTCACACCTAAAGATTATATTTGCACCGGGTGAATGAACAGAACCGCAACCAAAACTACCAAACAGTCTGTTTATTCAGTTATTCAAGGCTACGCAAAGGGAATTTGAATTCGCTACTGTCTTACTTTCAAACATAGCCCACTGTGCCAAGGGTCTTAAGAGCACGCACCTATTCGGTGCTTGTCGACCTCGTGGGGACGATGGAGAGGAACGGAACAGTAAAAATGCGCATTTGTTTTTTTACCGCACACAAGCGGAAACAGCATTGCGGCTATGATGTTGCCCCCCTCGATCCTAACCCCTCCCCTCAAAGTAAATTGCTGTTCAACGGGAATACATTACGCCACTTTATCCTGGTCTTTTATGCGAAGCATCTATCACGACTTCAACTTTCCTCCCTGTTGTAGTGCTACGTCAGGATTATTTTCCCTCCAAAGATCATTTCCAGTCTGACAGACACCGGATGCCACGGAAGGTAACTCACCTAGCTGCTGGAACTTTGCCTTTGCTTCGGCTGCCGCAAAGTCGCTGGTCACACGCGACCAGTCCACAGTCCGCGGCCTGATAAGATCGTAGAGCTCAAAAATAATGGTGTCGCAGAAAAGATCGGTATATAGGTTGTTGACCACGTTCTTCAGCCCCATCGAGTTAATCCAGTTTCGGTAGGCTGTGTCGAGGTAGCGCGACAGGGGGTGGGGTACACAAAAAAGAAAGTGAGTGGTTTTGGTGGAGAGAGTGGCAAAGGTGGAGACACAAGAGACTGTAAATACGTCAAATATGTGCACCAGGGAAACACGCACGCACAAGCGCTAGCGCAATTGCCGCTGCCTACGCGGTCAGCAGCAGGTAGGCTTGATTTCGTGTGCCTACAAGATAGCATCAGTTAGCAAGGGCGTAGCGAAAACGTTTACAAAAACGCCTGCTCACGCAAAAGGCCAATGCGGTCGAGTTTGAACGGTCTGCTGATTAGATATCAGTGTCGTAATCGTGGCGAAGTGAGGATGGTTATGCATTGGGTGAGGCAGATTGCGCGGTTGGTCGGAAATTTCCACATGACGAAAAATCTGCTTTGGCGTTAGGGGACAGAAATCGCGCTTTCTGCAGGCTTTGTCGAAGACCTGACGAATTTTCTGAGCCCAGTCAGCTTAGAAGGCATCACATGGGGACAATTACCTCTGCTGAATATTTTCCCTCCTAAGATGCACGGAGGTTTTATTAGTGGCGTGCAGTCTGAAACAGTATGCTCAGTAGTTGGTTATTCCTAAAAAGATTGTTTTTGACCTTGTGCTTTTGCTAGTGGAGCGTCCCTCAGGAAAATCACGCAGAGGTCAAACTGGAGATTTTTAAGAACATGTATGATACATTCAAACTAATTCCGATATATTTTTCTCTGCGAATAGATAAAACAAAAAGAACTACCGCAAGACACAACTGTAAATATGTTTGATGGCCGAAACTACCCGGTCTATGTTCTCCTATTTGCATTTCCACCGACTCAAGCGACCAAGTCTAGATATATTTGGTCCCCGGAAAAACGTCGGTTATGGATATCTCATGATATTATCGGTCAGCTTCTCATTACGATGACAGATTCCGAGTAAAACTGAGCTTGTTTTATGGACATTTAACTACTGGCGCAGTCAGGGATTTTGAAACAACTGCCTCAACTAGTCGTCTTGTGCCAAATACGTTAATGTCACACAGTTCGTTGGATCCTCCACAAAAAGAGATGCAAAGTTTTTCAATATTTTGTACTACGGATTAAGGCCTCTAAGAAATCCAGCTCTTTTTTAGCAAATTGTCAAACCAATATTCCACAATGCCGTAAGTTGCGCAAGGGGAAACGAGATGGATGGCCCACGAAACTGCTAAAAATATCCACGTATGAAACAACTAAAAAAGGAAATATGAAGTACTTTTACCTTCTCATGCTTCTTTCGCAGAGTTTTAGGACTAAATATCGGGTCGGTAAGTTACATTAGCGTGCAAGTAGTCAAGATTGTTTTCACTATATGGCCAGTGAACGATACATATTGGACTTCCGGGTTTTCATGAAAATATCCTATTTACAATTTTTTGCTGAAAAATGCATTTTAGACGCAAATACCAATTAAACAGGCCGTAGGCAAATGGTATATGCTGAAAGACTTTGATTCCGGGCATTCTTTCTTGTCAAGCCTGACCTAATGAGGCTAACAGTTCACTTGGGAGCTGTTGAGAGAGTAAGCTTTACTAGACGCAAGTTCTATATGGCATTTTGATCCATCTGGTCCCATTTGTCTCCCAACCATGGTTACCGAAAATTATGAAGAAATAACCGGAAATGACATCACAGCACAGTACTCGTTGTTTTGTCAGCAAAGGCATTCTTTAAAAACGCTTGTCTTATTCACTTGTTTAAAGGGCTTTAAGAGCTTGCTATTCCAAATGGTCCCAGAAGTCATTTTTAAAAACGCCTTAAATTTAATAGTAGTCCACGATGGACTTGTGGATTTTGGGCGACTTGAGAAAAACCGAAAAATCTGAGTTTGCGGTGGTTTGCCGTACTGTATGAATATGTGAGCGCGTTGAAGGGCGAATAAATAACTAACTGTCATAAAAACTTTACACTATGAAACATTACTCTTAGATGACCGAGTGCTTCTGCAAAAATCAGAAGATTTGCCTTTTTTAAAACCGAGCTGATTCAACTTAGGCGTGGGAACGTTGAGAATAATATATTCCCGCTATTCAGCATCGGTAAAAGCATCCAAGTAGTTGGGACACATCACTAGCGTAAGTAAACACGTCCCTGAATATGCAATCTTCGCTAGTGCAGTTTATTTGTAAAGTGTTTCCATAAAACACTGATTTTGCCAGGGCGTATATAGAAATCCAAATGTTTAAGCAGAAAGGGATTCAGTGAAATTTAGGAAATAGCTACGAATTGTCAGCCCTGACAGTAGGAAAGTGTACTTCTCTCCGATCAAAGCCTCAAATGCATGACAGCCAAACATAAAAGAGGGGCTGAGAAGAAGTAGTCGCGATCGTTCAAACAAGAACTCTGTTTGCCCGGAGTTTTGATCTCTCGCTTTAACCCATCATTAGAAACAATATCAGATAGGGGCAATTCGTGCACAAAGGGTCCCAGAGATTGGTCCCTTAGGACATTATTTATTGTAAGACTTTCATTATAGTAATGGAAGGCTGGTAAATTTGGTCTTGCAGGGAAGACCACTTGCTCTCCGAAGCTTTCAGTCTTCTCATGGCCTTAATCCAAGGTAATTTCAGTTTACACGGCAAAAGGGCCAATATAACACAGTCAAAACTGCTGATTTTCTCTTTCTAAGCTCGTCAGCCGTCTAAAGAGAACCCTATTTCCCAATAGGTTTAAGGTGACCGCTGCTGTAAAAAGAACTCAAAATTAGAAGAAGTAAAATGAGCGCAAATCGCCCGACTGCAAGCTTTACAACTAACCTCACTAAGTTATCATAGCACGAAAACTTTGAAGACTTAAATTTTTTATCAAGTCAACACTATAATAATTGACTGGAGACGCAAGAACTACCAGTGAGCAAGGTTTACGTATTGGTCAGGATTGGGTAAAATTCTGCCATGGAGTGAGTGAAGACAGTTGGCCATAAGAATCAAAACGAAAGTGTTAGGTTACTGCGCCCATTTTAATCTGTTTTCCTCAATCATAGTTAACAGAAAATGATTATGGAGGGTCGGTGTGACGTGAGGCTGTTTGCTGAACAGGACTGATCCAAGTTTTGACTGACGGACTTCTAAACTATTCTGTTCATTTACACCGCTGACACTGAACAAGAATCTCGCCAGCAGCTTTGTTTAGCATTATTACTGTGGGAGGAGACTGTTCGATCGCCGGAACCATTTCTTTATTTGTCTGAGCTCCTGAATTCGTGTAGGAGTCCACCGTCAGAGATAAAGGCGAAAACGGAACTGGCACAAGTTATAAGGGGTATGAACCAGTCAAACGTCAGTGACTGAGGTCGGGTGGTGATTGTGTGGAGTTCTGTGTGTCGGCGCAAGATCGATACATCAACTGGCTGAGTTCTCATCCGAGGCCTAGCCTTCAATCAATTCTCGACTTATTCTGTAATTTTGGCCGCGACGCTAGATTCGTGACCCGTTGCGTAGGCGCGATCAGTTACTTTTGATAATCCGCCACCCTGTCGCACCGTCAGCCTATGTTCATATATGCGCGATCTGATCAAGCTTTCAGTCTGACTAGCGCTGGCATACAGAGTCCTGCACTTCCAGACCTGCGCCACTGCTGTTTGATTGGCGCATACACCCTATAACTGGTGCCTGTTCTGTTGCCACTCTTATCTCTGACAATGGATTTTTACATGAGCTTGAAAGCTCTCTAAGACATACTTAAATCCTGCCAATAACTCGCAAGTTCATTCTCCGTGTAACTGGATTGGCCTGACGAGGAATTACCGAAAACATCTGTTCGCCAACCGACTTTTTCAAATAAAAAATGGTTCCGGCGACAAACCACTCCTCGCTTTTAGAAAATACACCTGGAATTCGAACATTCGCCTGTATTCACCTCGTTAGGCTTCAACCGCGCTTTAGTTGTAGTTGGGAATTCGATTTTCGGCAGGGGTATGGTTTATGGCCGGGGTTACTTACTTTGGGGAGCAATTTTGATTAAAGAAAGTTATTGTTGATGTTTATTTGTACGTGCCGGGGAAATAAACAAAAAGCCTCGCGACGGCTGTTGCGTGAGGATAACGAAGAGGCTTTAAGGTAGTTGTCAGAGTAAAAATACGACAATGCAATACCTTTTTGACAATGCCTGCAAAGGGGCATTAAATCCATTCACTATTATCATTAAATGGCAAAAATAATTTCTCCTTTATATTGGTGATAATTTGGATGATCCAAATTTATGTGATGCTTGATAAGAAAACGCTTTCGAGTTTATCAAGCGCCACGTTTTCACGACCCTCTATAAGACGCTTTCTCATTTGTGAAATTGGCATTCCAAATTGTCTGATACGTTGGAAACGAGCCGTCCGCAATAGGTCAGGTTATTTTGTTTACCACGGGCGGAAACCCGTCTAGATTATTTATAACAACCTCAAAATTTCCAAATTTCAATGGCATTTCTACGTTGCCTTCGGTTATTGGATGTATCGATACGCGAAACTCCGGTTTTCAAGACGAAGGCTGTTGACTGAACACATTTGAATGAAGATGTTCGCCTGATCTTGCGTTTGGACTATCTCTGTTCCCCTTTTGTCATATCGGGCAATAAACTTTTGACACTTTACTCTGAGAAATCCCGCCGTACTTAAGAATGCAGGAAATTGGTTTTGACTATAAAAGAGGAGGGAAAGTAAGGCAATCGAACAGCACGTCCGAGTAACTGTTCTTTGCCCATAATAAGGAGGCTTTCTTGAGGTCTTTCGTACGTCTAATGTCCTGATCGCGAACACTCTCTAGGGCCTGGAAAGACAGACAAAGTAGTTTTCAGGCCAACACGATTAACTTATTCTTTGTATAGATCAGCATAAACTTAGAGATCATCACGACAAGGGAGGTGATGAAGGGATTTGCGGATTAATTAGTCTCACGACGACTTATACTTTCAATCATGTTTACAGTATGCTTCTTGACAGACAGATCGGCCTGATTATCTCAAGCCACCGCCAAATCTTCGATGTCCAATAAGCGCCTCTTCCGGTTTACTCGTAAACATAGCAAAAAAATAACTTTTTTTCAAGTCTTCTAAGTCTTCAGTAAATACTGAAAACGTATGAGCTTCTATGAACCACAAACTATTTAGCCCAGAATGTATGTGTACATTTTCGGCAAGAGATTAAAAGGCCCTAATTTGAGACTATATGGAACTTTTTTTACCTCACGACAAATGGCCAGCTTTCCTCCAAAAGCGCAAAATACATAATACATCAAATGCTCATTTTTCTTGTCTGTCGTTGTATAAACTGAGGAAGAAGGCATTCATTTTCCCAGCAATGTTGTGAACGACTGTAGTTATTCTCATGCTCATATCTTGTGATCAGCTACTCCCCGTTCCAAAAAAATTGCAGGAAATTTGTTTATACATAGACTGCTGTATTAGAAACACCAGGCAGCAAAACTCGCTGTTTTGACATGAAATCTGATAGCTCAAGGAGGGGTCGTCGACCAGTATTTACTTTCAAAAGATGCTAAGTTGAAATTCCAAGCAAAGGCGCATCTCATGGGCGGGCCATATTAAAATCTGGGAGGGGACAAATGGCGAGATCTCATTTCAACGCCGTACCTGTTAGGAGTTAGGGTTAGGGTTTAGGGGTTGGGCTTAGGGGTTAAGGTTAGTGGTTGGGGTTAGGGGTTAGGGTTAGGGTGAGGCTTGTCTACTGCAGGTACGGCTACGAAATAAGATCCAACCGAACAAATTTTGTATCACAATGCTCGTCATCAAAAGAAAAATCATTTTGGACTTTTTTGAGCATTTGATTTCGTGATGGAGATATTATGATCAAAGAGTAAACATCGCAGGGGAACCTCTGTCTGGACTCCAATTTTAAGTATGCGAATCGAGAAGAAATTAAAAAGTGCTTTCAGCGCTATCTTTCCGTGGAAGGCTTTTTAGGTACTGCCTAGATAAAGATTTTGTTACCTTCGTGGCCCTCTTATTGTTTGCTCAAGTTTCCAGGCCATTTTTAATGGCCAAACGATCCCAGAGTAAGCACTCATATACAAAAGTACCGAGAAACACGATGTTTTGAAATCGTTCATGAGACCAGGTTACTTACATGCCAATATAACTTCGGAAATTTTTGGTTAAACCGGCACTACAAATACTGATAAACGTTCTCGTTCTGACGGCTGTTTTGTCCGTTCAGAGGAAACTTGGATGAAGAAAAGCGCTTTTTACTGCACCAGCAAATGTTGGTCTTAAGATCAAAAAATATATCATGGTGAAAGTAAAGTATAGGTGGATGACGATGTCTTTGGCACATAAATTCCTGTAAGCCGGAAAATCCTCCTTGTCGTACCTATTTACTCTGAGTGCCAAATGCCCCAGAATGCAATGGATTTGCCTTACTGAAGATCACCTAAACATTTTAGAATCCGCAAAGTTTGTGCTAGGTATAATTAGGAAAGACTTGAGTAAATGCGATGGAGTAATCAGTTGCTCTGTTCTATACATCCTAAAATTTAAAATTCGTTTATTCATGCCGAAGGTGACATCCATAACTCTATCGGGATTCAAAAAGGAGATGGATTCCATGAGAACCTCCAAATCTTGTGAGGTTTATTCTGACGACAACCACCTAAATACAGAATCTCTAGAGAAGCCGAAGTTGTGTGTTGAGGGGCCTACAGATCCTGCAGTATTCCTTGACCACTACGTAGTATCTTGTGTTCCACAGTATTCTGATTAGTCCTCATTAGGTTCAACCGACGCACCCTTAAGGTAGCACTTTAAAGGTTGTGTATCATGAAAGAAGCCCCGGTTACATGCCAGTTTGAATAGCGAGGGCTTTTGATGTTTAACGCTCCTTGAAAATATAAGATTGTTGAGAAAGTCGTACAAAAGCTATGGACCTTCTACTCTTGTGTTACCGATCGTCTTTACTGCTTATCAATTACATAATGCGAAAATCTGAGAGAAAACGCAAATTTGGGTAAGAAGGTCCTGATAGGTCTAAGCTTTGCAAATTTTGATACAGGGTTCGAAATCATGTAATAAATTAAACAAGTAATTTATGTTGTGATTAATTAACGTAGGTGGTCTAACTCACGAAATGCCAAACGACATTTCGAAATGCGTTTCAGGTTTGAAAAAAGTAATTAAATAGGGTTGTAAAACTAATCATCACGAAGCATAATTTGATAGTAACTCAGTTACCTCAGGATGCCGGATTTCGAAGGAACTTCTTTCCGCTCGCATGCGAAAACTATCCTCCGTAAAAAATAACTACTTATTTAGCATGCATTTCCCTCAGTGATTTTTAATGCCCATAAAAATGCAATTATATTTCATGAAAAACATGTATAAAAATATTCATTCTTTCTCTCATTCTGTAGGAAACGACGTCTTTTTCCAATTTAATACTCGAAGTAAGGGTATAATTCGGTTTTAAGAGGGTTTTTGATTGTGAGATTTTCTAGTACCGTGAAATGACCTTTCATAAAGCGTCACGTCTCTGCATTCACGAATGTAGTTTGTAAAGTTAACACTGGGGCTCAAATCCATTTTTAATTTTATGAACCCCATATGGTTTCATTTTAATACCGAAGATAAATGTATGGTTTTCCGTACGCGGAAAATATATGGCTTGTAGTTTCCAAACCCTGATTGCAAGTGTAACGGCGGATCGGGTTTACAATTATTCCGGAATTTGAAAGGCTTTTGAAAACCGAATTATACCCGTCCTTCGAGTATTAAATTGGAAGAAGACGTCGTTTCCTACAGAATGAGAAAATGAATAAATATTTTTATACATGTTTTTCATGAAATATAATTGCATTTTTAAGGGCATTAAAATCGCTAAGGGAAATGCATGCTACATAAGCAGTTATTTTTTACAGATGATAGTTTTCGCATGCGGCCGGGATGAAGCTCTTTCGAAGTCCGGCATCCTGAGGTAACTAAATTATTATCAAATTATGCTGCACGATGATTAGTTTTACAACCCTATTTAATTACTTTTTTCGAAACGAAAACGCATTTTGGAATTTTGGTTGACATTTCAGGAGTTATCCCACCTACTGTATTTATGAGCTTTATGCAGTTTCATACACCCATCAGACAAAGGGGTGCTTGTGCGCATGGGGATTAAAGTCTGGTTAACCGAATTACTCTGATTTAGTGCCAGAACCTGGGAGCCTAATATTTTTACCATCAAACATTTCCTCAGTTTATTGTGTTCCATATCATTCGATAAACAATTATTCTGCTTATTTTTGTATCAAGAAATTCACATGATATCAATAAAAATGCTGCTGCATTTATTTTAACCCGATTAAATGCTGACAGTGAGCACAGTGTCTGCAGTAAGTATCCTATGCTCAATGGTTACAACATTAGCACTTGACTAAGGCGTAAGAAACACCATGTCGTAAGCGTATCACGATCTCATATTGAAAGCAAACTGCACGCAACCATTAAGTTAGAATGTTACACACACTCCAATTCTTTAACCAATTTTTCAATCATCGCATCATCGGGTTGCCGCAAGTCCTCATTCGGACGAAATTTTAATTGCTGATATTGAATCAGTTAAAAATCACAGTCCCCATTAAAGTGCTCGAAGGAGGTTTACCTATAGCTTATTCGGTTAAGAGGTGAAAGAGACAAAATATGTGATTTCATCTAAAATGGTCTAGTAAAGCTACAGTAGGATTGTCAGTTTTCATTTATGAGTTTAACGAAATCATTTCGCCTTCACGCGTGAGGCCGAAAATTAGTGTCTTTTATCAAGGCAAAATGTACTTCGCAATCCGTCCAGACATGCATTCATTTCAAGGTCAAAGTATCCGCGAATTCACGCTTCATTGTTTAATTAAATGCTTTATTTCAGGGTGTTCCACTGACATGCATAAATGTAACGGGTTCAATTAAAACGTTCCGAGCTACGTGAGTTAATGTCGTTATGTTGTATTGGGATACAGCTGATATTTGTCCACTACATCAAATTCAATTAATAGCCAGTTGTTACTAAACAAAGTAAACTGGCGAAATCGTTGAGGACGGAAGTGGAACTAAAAAAGAAAGCTGATCTCCTCTTGATACTGACTTCAAATTTAGTCTCGAAGTACTAAGCCTTTGAAAAAATCGCTAACGTTGGACTTAGGGATGTTTTAGATACTTTTAATAGTGAATTCGTGGGTGCTAATTTCATGCTACTCCTTGTCTATAAGCAGAAGACTGGGACGTAGAATGACCTTTATTCAAAAAAGTGTGCAATTTATTGGGATTAAGGGTGCGATTGTACAAGACGGGGCTTGTCATTCGGCTAGATACTTTTCTCTTAGCTTGTCCATGCCATTAAGGTCATAGCTACCGCGAAACCACACGCGTGCTACTCGGATGTTTTTGGCCTTTGTAAGACAGCCGCACCACACGCAGAGGCAAGGGCAGAAGGGACACTCACTTTTTTCCTCTCTCGTCTCCTCAATAATTGGCGGCGGCTCAACTTCTGCGGGTTTCTCAAGCGCGGGGTTCGTGTTGAAGAGATTAGCCAGAAAGGCTAAGTTTAGCTTCTGCGAACCAGTTATGATGTCTTTTGGTTGCACAAACACTCGGCAATTGAGCTTTTCTGCATTTTGAAGAACCATTTCAGCCCTCTGCACCAGATCTACAGCGTCCAAAATTGCCTACGAAAACAAAAAAGCATTATATAAATCAGTCTATGATAGACTGTCTATGATAGTCTTTCTCAAGTTCATTCCTCCCCTACTGTGACGTAATTTGATGATGGTTTCTCTGCTCATGTAGACAGCTGTGTAACGGACACTTCTGTATTATTACGCAAGTTCTTTGATGAAGAGCATATCATCGAAAAAAATGAAAAAGGCAACTTTTGGCTTTTTGTGTGATACCCGACAGTGACGAGAGTGTGATAAAGTTAATTTGCCCGTAAAACGATACAAATGACACAAAACTCCGGCCTAATAAAATAAGCGGAAGGCTGCATGAGGTCTTTAATAGACTGCGACAACAAGTTGCTTAAGGTAGGGAAATTTATTTGAGCCAAGAAGCGGTGTGAAAACCATTCGGGGTGATGAGAAGGATTTTTCGCTTGCGAAAGGTTCGGGATTCAAGGTATCTGCATTTGTACTTTCTACTCAAACCGTTTCAGTAGGCAAAATTAAAGTTTATGTGTTAAGTAGGGCTTGCAGTTCTGACACACCGGTCCACGTGTCTTTAGGGTGATTCTGACATACGCCATAAAAGCTTTTCGGGCAGCAAAATACGCAGGCATTTAAGAAATCCACGCCAAAGATATTAATTCGTTAATAAAGCGTCCCTAATCTTTTGCGTACCAGATCTTCCGACTTATAAATTGAATCATTCTTTAGTGTAGGCTATGATTCGTATTTTAGTGCCACTTTCTAGAGCCCCTGTGTCAAGGCTGCTAAGTGTCATCATGAACCTTTATCTTGTCCTGATAACACCTTGAAAGTCACTCCTAATTTATTCGACTGTGGTACCCAACCTGACAGCCCGGCATCCACTTTTTAAATCAGTATGGTACTGGACTTACCTTAGCCGAATGCAGGAACGGTTTCTTTTCGGGTGGACTAATCTGTTCAAGGAGATAAGCGTATACCTCGCAGTCCTGGTAATAAAAGATTAAACGGAGATTCAGATATGGTTATAAAAATATCTGCAAGAATAGGGCAGACGGTAGCTTACTACGTACGTGGGGAAATGTGTGAACTAATGAAAGTAAACTTTATGAATCCATCGAAGCTCTACCTAAAGACCTTCCACACTATCAACAGAAAGCTAGACAAAGTAAGCCTATCTGCAACGAAGTATTGTTTTATCTCTGGCTTCTCACTACAAGGGTGCTTCTATAAAGTAATCGCTAGAGATTGATCCCATGCAAATATGTGCTCCAAGCTTAGTTTATCAAATAACTGGAGCCAGTTACAGATTCCAAACTCCGTGAAACGGCCTTTATATAAGGAATCAGATTACATTGAGACACAAGTTGAGGTCTGATGAAAAAAGGTCGAATTTGCGGAAGAGAGCGCTAAGGTAAAATATTTAAGATTATATTGCAATCATTCCCAGTCAGGTCGATGCGTCTGTGAACTGATATGTACTACCGAGTAGAAGGTCTTAATGTTAAAATATGCGCAATATCGTTAAAACGATAATTTCTGGGAGCTATTGTGACTGTTTCCAATGGCCGAGGTCGAGCAAAATTATTAAGAGTCGCAAACATGAGGTCTTCCCCTTAAAAAGAAAGGCAGCGCATGCACTGAATCGTTCTGCAAATGTGGCTAGTCTGGGTGGCGACTGCTGAATATGCAACTGCCTCGATACCAGCGTCCAAAAGCTACAAATGAGTCATTAAATTATGGCCGACCGGTACCGGCATATCGCACGAATTTGATTAAATACCTAAAAATTTATGTGAGTCTGATAAAATATGCGCGTACGCGAACCCGTGGCGACTCAAAACTATGGATGGAAGCAGAGTAATACTTATGGCCATAGAATAACCAATAATATGTATGCAACTGGGCCTAATCAGCTGGCCCCACCAGGAATTTCACGTGGCCTGGGTCAGTGGAAACCCCCAGGAATTATTTGTACAAAATTATCCTGGTTGCGGAGTGAAGTGTACGACATTCAGCTTCATTTTCCCATTAAATACCCAAAACCCACACCAGGTGTCGTGCAGCAGACAGCAAGCAATAGCCGGTAAACATCAGCCGCAAAGATAAAGGAAGCTTACTGGTACGAGCGAAAACGGAAACTCGAAAGCCTATTTATGCCGGTCAGCATACCTCAACCGCTCATAGGCCATTGAGTGTTACTTCGAACGCTCTGTCTCTGACCCAACGGTCCGGGTCCTGTTGAGACACGACCTGCTGGCACCGCAGGTAGGCCAGAAATCGTCCTTCCGAACGTCCATGTATCCCGTTGGTAACAATCTTCGATCAATCAAGACAGGCATATACGCTCACAATTTTCCGCCGGTTCAGTCCTTCATTACTTTCGCAAAATCAACCCCGTATTAATGATGGAAGGTTGCTGTACGAGCAAAGAATTTCGAAATCTTTGTGAGTAACGGCTGGAGTTTTCGAGTAATGTTGTCTCTAGAATTGCCTTAATGAATTTCATCTGCAAAATGTTATTCGGTGTCACGATGTTTCGACGCTGACAAGGCTTGAATGGCATGTAATTCATAACGAATCAGCTCATGGTTAACGCTACTTCCGCGCGATTGGACTAGCATAACTCAGTAACGCAATGCGTTGATACGATAACACATTCAAACTCGTCTTCAGAAAACTCGTGACGACTATAGAAAATATGTCTACAAATGACGCAACCTATTTATGCACTATACTAAGGTGCCCGGTATCTTCTTAGATCCGTACTTGTTTCCTCAATATTTAGTGTTTTAGCAAGGCCAGAATGCTGTAAATCTCTATGCCTAAATCATTTTAAAATAATGCGAACGCGTAGAACTGAATACTTGGTCGCGCTTAGCTAGTCTAGGAGTGAACGGATCTCGAAAGGAAGATTTACTTTGTGGTACAGTGCATACCTGGTTATTATATGTTGGCATTGAGTGGTCTACGTAAACGAATTAAACGTAAGTAGATTATGATTCCTCAACCGACACCAAACGAATTCAACAACGACGAAATATCTCCTAACTCTGATATGGTTGGCGTTTCAGATCGGAATTAGGAAAAGATATGGCTAATTGAAAACGGGACTTTATTCATAACATTTCAAGCTGCTCTCGGCATTCTTCTTTAAGCCATTAGAGAATTTGCAAGCAAATTTGTGATTCGCTAAGAGTCTTCCGTTTCTACTAGAAAATGCCGTCTGCGAGTATATGTTAGCACTAAAGTCGGCCCTTCAAGTGCTTTTTCCGCGCTTACCTCGCGGCGTCAGCGTATCTTAGAAACGTGATTTGTCGAGCAAAGTGTGAAACAGCGAAGGACCGCTCGCTCGTCTCATATTACATCCTAAAGTCTTCGTACTTAGACCCGGCTTGCTTTTTTGGCCTTTAATATAAAAGAATGAATTCAAGATGCGCAATTCCGCTAAGCACATTCATTCGGACAATTTCACAGAGTAACCGCTGGGTGCCGTCATTTCTCCTACGCTTTAAACTACTTCCGGTTACTAACCCAAAACACGTAGCTGTCGCTGAAAATACGACAGCAAGACAGGATTGCTTACATTAAATTCCAGCTAATTTCCCTTAGTTTGCACACCTCCCAGGTCCTCACTTTACATCAGGAAATTTTTCACGCTTGGTCACTTCAACCCATAGTCTAACTTTGGTTTCCTTTGCTATCGAACGCTAGCTTGAGAACAATGAGTTTGAACAAAAATACATGGAGCAATTCATGACGGCTGATACGCCAAACTTCGGAGGGTAGAAGGAGCCAAAAGTCATCACAAGTAACAATGGTAGGAGTTTTAAAATCCACCATTACGGTTTTACCGATACCTGTTCGGTACTTAGAATTGAACATTTTCTACACCAAATACGGTAAATACAAAAAACCAAGGGAGTGTTACAACCGAAGCAGGAGAAATCGAATGATTATTATTGGCTTATTTGACGTCGTCGGCCCCAGTCCCGGTGGACTCGCACTTTGAACCCGGGCATTTTATTGATTGGGTACTAAAACAGACATCTTATTGCTAAGCTCCAGGCTTGTCGCCCAGTCAGCAATAATTATGAGTGTTAAGACATAGGGAACTGTCGTTCACATTTGCGTCTTTATTGTTGCTATTGATGATTAACGATGGCAAATAAGTACAAAAACATTTCAGGATGACTTTCTTCGTTGCCAACATTCAGGTGTTATTGACTGCTCATCGTTATGAGACCATTTAAGAGGACGTCGCGGCTTTATAGCGGAACAGAGACTTCCGTGTCATGTTCTGCAATTGGATGTATCGATAAACGTGACTACTATCGGACTACAAGAATTATACACGTCAAAATCTAACTTTCTCTAGTCAGTTTTTTCGTGAATACAAACACTAAAGGGAACCGCTATTAGGCATTTCACCATCATACTATAGAAAGCAAAGCTGCTGGCAGTTCGGTGGCCACCGACCAACTAAGCCGTCCCTTTGTCAATCTTCGTGATGTTTTGTCATTCTTACGGACGCAGCATAAAATGGTAGCTTTGTCGAATGAGCAGCAGAAGAAGAAAGTCATGTCTGAATTCACTGGCTTGTCCATGTAGCACCAAATAAGGAATAGCCTGGACACACAGTAAAGCAATTTAGGCAACCTTAAATAAATTATCATCTAACCAACACCGCTTGTAAAGTTGCTTCTCTTAAAGACGTTTTTAGCCAGGCGCGTTAATGTAGTGATACCAACATCTGTTACTAGTTCATGTTATCCGAAAATGCTAGGAAATATTCGATTTTGCACATCTGGATCCTTCTGATACATCATTATCGTCATTTCCTTAGAGGGGAAATTCGGACCAGATGATTGCCTGTCAATCATTGCATGGACTGAAACATTTTTACATTTAAGTTGCCATTCCGTTCTTCGAGCCAAATCACATTTTACGGAGAATCTACAATGCCTTCTGGTTCTTTGCCACCCTCTGCAAATGGCCTCTCTGTGGTCCGTTTCAGGTACCAGAGCCCATTCTGTTGCCTCACAGAAAGAGCCTGGGTGTAGAGCTGACCCAGGACAGTGAACCTTTGTTTCACCGCCGTTTAGTAGTTTCCGTTCACGTCACAAGCTGAAGATATGTGTTAAAGCAGCTATTATCTGCAATTATCTAGTCGTCATCCGCACGAATTTAGTACACACGTAACATGCGTGGCGGTGGCGGCGGCGGCGCTGGTGGTGACAATGGTGGTCAGGCCGTTCGAACAGGCCTCACTAAGGCAAACGTCCGGATACTCTCCGATGAGCGGATATGTCATGCGTATGCAAATGAGTCTGCAGGACAACACCATCACAGGAAAGTGCTGCTCTGGCCTCCCTCGGCCGGTAAGGAACACAAGCACGAGGTAATATAGGCACGCACATGCATTTGTATTCTTCGCATAACTGCAAGCCGGTAACAAGCACGTGGTTTCTCGACAGAGCCAACAGAATGGTGTGCAGCTGGAGCAAACGACGTGTCAACCAACTTTTATACATAGTAATAAGGTGGCCGTGTTCTTGGTAAGGAGGGAAGTCCGTACATCGTGAGGTGAAGAGTAACAGTAGCCAACCGTCCACTAACCTATCAAGATATTCGAATAGTTTTGCGTCTTATTGCATCTCTTCCCACATCCCTCGACCTAATGGGTCAACAAAAGAAATTAAACAGGACACATGAGAGGATACCAAAATACGATGTGATGGCAGTTGTCAGAAATTTTATGTTAAGATTATTCTTGCCGAAAAGAAGGCCAATTTCTCAAACCAGGAGTGTTTTTTCTGGGAACCCCAAACTTCGATGCAGCACTAAAATATATTTCGCAGGAAAGCACAGGAGTACAGGAAGTAGCTTACAAACCTGCTCCCTTAGCATCCTGCTGAATTAAACATTAGTAGACTTGCACATTACTGTCACCATTGAGTTAGCATGTCAGAATATGATGGTCTATCCTTCCTTCGACTTATCGCAAGTCTTTTCCTTAATGTTTACTGAACGTCATGCAGCTCTTTAGAGCCTTCAGACCATACACTAAGGGTTAGGTGAAAGCTCCGCATTCCAGTTTTCAATCAGGCTCGGTCAGTGCAAATCATTTGCAAGCAAATTTGAAGATTCGTAACTGCAGCATATGCTGTACGAACTCCGTAATTTAAATGGCAAAACGTCTGCTTCAATGAAAACTTAACTCGAATGTGAACTTAATGTTTTCTGGCTTAGAGATGATATCGAATAGATAAACTTTAGACAAGAGTTCTAGTCTCCCTTACCAGAGAGACTTCCAAAATATTGATTTTTTATGTCTATGCCAAAACTTATTCAGAATGCAGGACAGACTTCTAAAGCAAAATAAAATGTGCATATTCCCTCCAATGAATGCCGCTCCCACTTGGCTTTCTGCTACTAGTGCATTATGAGCGTAATCTTATCGTGATGTAAAACTTCTACACCCCAATATACCTGAGTGTGTAATACTTTTTTATTGGCAGAAATGTGTTCTGTCCATTTAAAAGTTGAAAAATGTGAACCGCATGTCTGAGCTCTACTTAAGTGATGCACAATACTACAGTGGGAGGGCTAACTCATGAAATGTCAACCGAGATCTCGAAATGCGTTTTCGTTTCGAAAAGATTAATTAAGTAGGGTTGTAAAACTAATCATCATGCAGCATAATTCTATAATGATCCGGTTACCTCAGAGTGTCGGCTTTCGAAAGAACTCATCTTCGACTGTACTCAACTACACTCTGCAAAAACACTACTACTTAAGTAGCATACAGTTTTCTCATCGATTTTCGATGCTCTTGAAAATTCAATTATATTTCATAGAAAACATGCATAAAATCATTTATTCTTTCACTTTTTGATAGAAAGTCATGTATTTTTTTCAATTTTATACCCGAAAAAGGGTACAATCGAGTTTCAAAAAAATTTTGATTGTGAGATTGTTTAATACCATGAAATGGCCGTTCACAAAACGTCATGTATCTGCATTTACGAATGTGGCGTGTAAAGTTAACAATATTGCTCAAATTCACTGCTAAATTTTGAACTCCAAATGGTTTTCTATTAATACCGTATAGAAATGTATGGTTTTCCATACACGGAAAATATACGGCTTGTAGTTTTGAAACCCTGAATGCAAGTGTAAAAGCAGGTCGGGTTCGAAATTACTCGGGAATTGGAAATGTCTTTAAAACCAAACTGTACCATTATTATAAGTATAAAATTGGAAGAAGACGTAATTTTCTACCAAAAAGTGAAAGAATGAATATTTTAATGCAGGTTTTCCATGAAAAATAATTTAATTTTCAATGGCATCGAAAATCAATGGGAAAACTGCATGCTACTTAAGTAGTCATCGTTGCAGTACATAGTTCTTGCAAACAGTCGAAAATAAATTTTTACTAAAGCCGACACTCTGAGGTAGCCGGATCAGTATAAAATTATGCTGCATGATGATTAGTTTTACAACTCTATTTAATTAATTTTTTTTCCAAACGAAAACGCATTTTGAGATTTCAGTTGACATTTCATGAGTTAGCCCACCTACTGTAAATCGATTCTAGTGGACATCTTTTTGCACTTAGCAAATTCACCTTGTTGCCAATGTGGCTAAAATTGTCTAGCGCTGAAAAATTCTTTTTATTATTGTCATTTATGTGCTCACTTACACAGCAGTATTTTGAAATCCACAGGTAAACCAGTAGCGACTGGTAGAGTGGTTTATGAGTGTGCCTTGTCACTAAAAAATGCGAACTATATCAACACTGGAAACCTAAGAGGTATTGTCCAGCCTGCTTTCTAAGGCCAAGTGCATTTACTATAGAGAATGGGTTTTTGTAAGTCTGACGAAGAAATGCAAAACCACCGGGATACGTTTAATTGAAATCTCGATATAACAAGGCATTAAAAACGTCTTTCTTTGCATTTGACGAGTTAATACTAGCGAATACACAAGATACGAGATTTGAAACTGTAATTGCATTGTTTAAAAAACGGTTGGTCTGCCATTCTTTAAAAAACCCGCAACATTTGCTCCAGGCGAGTTGTAGAAGTACTCACTTTAATATCGAATGAAAAGTTCTCCATTCGTACATCACAGTTCGAGCGCTTTAGATGGTAATTGACCCAACGCATAAGAATTTCCTCTGGAGATAGTTTGGCAAATTCTGTAATCGTCTCATCGTCATCCAAAAGAGCCACCAGTTCTGCATGTGCGACAACGTTAATTTGTCGGAGAAGGCCGATCTAAATCATGGATAACTCAAGTACCAACGATGCAAGTATACATTTAAGGATAAAAATATGATGAAATTAACGTCGTGGTGTCTATCTTATTTTTTAAAAAGGTATGAATTTCATTTATGAGGTGTCACTCTCCTCACCAGTAAGAAACATGAGGAAAGTGAAGGTAGGTCAGAGGCAGAGTAATATTAACGATGTAAGGTTGTAACTTTCTAAATTTCATATCCTGGGCATTTTATGTAAGCCGACCAAAAGTGCCCAACTGCCTTCTTCCGACTTTTAACGTTTTATTAAATACGGAATTTTACATAGACTCGGTTATTTATCTATAAGAAGGGAATTAACAGTCTAGTAATCTATAGTGACAACGAAATATTAAAGAGACAAATCGATAGCAAAGGCAGAAATATTGCTTATGCTTAAACACTGCGAGACAGTTTTCATAGGATAAAATTAGTCCAAATAATTATTGTTCTCTAAAATAAAAGGCAAATTTGGCTTCAACCAAGAACCGATGACTGTTAATTCTCCTCTCATGACACTACAATCTCTGTCTGGTTGTCTTTTTAACTTGTAACACAAGCTAAACTTCATTTTGGTTGGCGAAAAGTTGATCGCACAACTAACATCGTCGAATTTTAGATGGCGGTTAAGTTTTCGAAGTTTTAATTTTACTGTTAGCTTTGTAGTAAATTCTGTCTTTGCCACCATCGTTGCAGTGGCAAGTGCTCTCACTCAATATCGATGATTATTTAGCAATGTTCAGATTTTGAATTATTTATAAGCTGTTGTAGTACTAACACTTTGGCCAAATATTTTCCCGTGATTCATTTAGAGGAAGATTTAGTGAAGTATTTTGATAGACCATATTAACCAAGGCGAAGCAGTTAATACAAAGTAAGTCTGCTAGGCTTCTTAACATTCAGGTAGTGCACCACGTTGCTAACCGATGTGCGGGCTGGCAGTACCGTTTGTTTTCACAAAGAAAAGGACAACACTACCTAAGAATCGGCGTCACTCTTTTACATAATAATCTGACAATACTGATAAGAATACTTTATAACATTTCTTTAGAGCATATGCTTTAGCGATTCCTCTTATTATGCTAGTTACATTTGATTTAATGGAATGTTTTTAGGTTGACATATATGTTCAGGATTATGTTTGACAAGAAAAGTTAAAAGTCTTCTTGAAGACCCAATATAACGTTCAAATATTTATATAGTAACACGTGCAAATGCGTAAAGCCTTACTTTAATAATCTGCCATAAGAGGCCAAGAAGAAGATGGCGTGTACCTTCTTGGATGTCAGCTGCGTCAATATTTACTACGTTGCATCCAATTGCACGAGCGCTGTTTAGGGCAAGTGTAATGTTCTCCATTATCTGGTATCGGGTTAGCTTTGAACCTCTGTGCAAGGCCCGAAGGTCTATGGTATTTGGTGCTGAGCAGTTGATTATTTTGCTTAAAAAAATCACAAGAGCGCTGTAAATGATATATGGGTAGTTTTCATAGTAAATAACTGAGGTTTAAATCCTAAGGTAATTAGATTTGAATTTCAATTATTCACACGGCTTAGGAGAACCTAAAAAATCTGGTCACATTAAATTTAAGCATACCTGTTGGCAATTTCTCACACTAATTTAAAATCATTATAAATGATTTTGTCTGCCAGTAGATTGGCGATGCGCCCATTATTGTGATTTCACTATAACTTATTCTTTATTTAGATTAATTAATACCACTTTGCCCAAGCGGGCAAATACAACCATTGTCGAATAGCAGAAAAGAATAAAATGCGCGAACATTCATAGCAAACGGTATGAAGTTAGTTATCTTAGCTATTCAAAGCACTGAATGAAAAGAAGATTTTTGAACTTTGGTCAATTATTACTGGATCTGACTTGGGTTATTTTACATGTTAAATGAAAAGGTGCAGCATTTAAACTAAAATCCTGAACCATAATCCCAACTGCTTGAGTAATAAAATTAACAGACAAACCAAAGAAGGAAACCGTCGTTGCATTTTGTGTAAAGGTCCGAGCCGTCTTCGTTAAATGGGAAATAACGTGCACATGACTTCTCATCACTCAAATTCCTATCGGCAACTTTTATAGCGTCTACCGTATTACCTTTCGAGCCAACCACAAAATGCGACCTGTTCATCTTCGCTTACACTGTGAATTGTGTCATCTCCCTGTGGGCAGTTAGAGGATCCATATTGGTAAATAGTTGTTCGGGTACTCAGGGGATCAAAGGAATCGGAAGCTTCCTGTTTACACATTTCTTGGTACACCTGGGACATACTATATAAATAAGTGCATACTCTTTTGAATTCCGAAATGTTCAATTTCTTTTCCGCATAGTCAATTTCGCAATTTTTAACTGCTGCCCTCAACTCGCTTGGAGATCTGTTAAAGCCAAGCGATTTCAGTGCTGCTAGAACCCCTTTCTCCTTTAGGTATCCAGTTTGCTCTTTATCGAACTACAAAATGAATTTATATATTAAGTATACCAAAGCAAAAACAGTGAGTATGTCTGAAGGTTTTGCGCGCAAACGCTCATCACGAGATCCCATTTTTTCGATTAAAGTGGCCGCTTGCACCCCCAAATGACCTTTATTGCATCAATGAAACAAAAAGAGCTTTCTTATAAAAGTGATAGCTGATGAACAAAAACTTCCTTATCGCTTCCAGTCCACGTGTTTTTGCAGACGCATATTGATGTTTATCTTTATAAAACCTGACATTCTGCGTCTTTTCTTACCCAAAGTAGCCCAAATTTCTCGAGAAAAGACATTTGTCTACAGTCTTAATAGCCCCAGGTAATTCGATTTCCTGAATGCTAATGCTTCTTTTCTGCAAAAAGTTATGAGGCGAAGGCTGAATCATGTAAGACATATGATATGATACGGGGTTGGCATTGGGGTAATATAGCGTTTGGCTGTCTGATTCATCATAAAAAAATTTTTTCCATTTGTTAACATAAGGGGGCAGCACTCTAGCAGGTTTTGTGGAAAACGAAGCCCTGACTGTGTGCTAGTCAGTGGCCAGAATTAAGCGCCACTATACTCAAAGTATTAGTAAGTTAAGCGTCCTTTGTCAGTCATAACAATGCTGTGTCAAGCACTAAAATTAACAAGCTAAGGCCTCATACGTCAAAACTTAAAAGATATAACCGAGTGAATAACTCGTGGAAGATTATTGAAGTTTTAAAAGTAGGATTCTGAGCAGGTGGCGCCCATCAGACAGTTAAGCAAGATCCCTGTTGATAGGAGCTCAGGGACACTATTTTCGGTATACAGCAGAAGTGCAAATGCTGCTTGAATCTTACGATCGCTAGGTACGTGGTGGGCACCTCAGGAATTTGTGACGCCCAGCAATCTGGATTAGGCTGTTCGAATGTAGTGACACTTTTGCGCTGACTTAAGATGGAGATGGAGTAATTGCCCGTCGGTGAAAATAGCCGATACTCCTTTCCAACTCAACTGCCGATTCCCTTCCTGCAAATTCCGTCGTAACGCTCGTTCCACACACTCTACTGCGGCGGTTTCCACGGTCTTCCCCTGCAACAGCCTGTGCCGATGATATCTCCACTGGTTGTTTAGCAGACATGTCGGTTCTACCTCTCCATCCACATGGGTCAACTTTCTGGTTTAACCAACCATTATTTGTTTTACAAAATCCCCGTCCGCCCATACTGCATATTTTAAGTTCTCGCCAATTTCTTCTTCTATCTCATTTTCTAGACGAATTCTGTGAAGTTCCTCCGAAATTATTCCCAGCGCTCTAGTTGTCTTGCTTTACATAAATAATATCTGAGCAGCAGTTAAACATTCTCAATCATTTATTTATGCCGGTGATCTGAAATGTGTATATTCTTTCAATAAATCTACGAGTCTTCATTTCCTGGAGCAAATCCATGATGACTTGCTTGCTCTCTCAGCTTGGAGCTCAGAATGGTTAATGGAATTCTCTCCTTCTAAATGTCGCCATATGTGTTTTGGACATGACAGACTACCCCAATCTGTGGTCTTTCAAGGCACACCTATGACTGAAAGCACCACCAACAAGGATTTAGGTTTAAGCTACACTAATAATCTTGACCTCTCGCCATACGCTGACATAATTACATCTAAAGCTTCCCAGATATGTGGCTTTATTTCTTACAATTTCTATCTTCCTGAAACTAAATTTAGGTTCTATCGTATGTTTGTACTTACCATTCTCGAGTATTGTTGCCCATTCTTTGGTTTGATGAATGAGGCTAGTCGCTTAAAATTGAAAATTTTTAAAGACGTTTTTCTAAAAAAAACTTTTAGATAGGGGACATCCAAATATCTCCTACTCAGATAGATGCCAGCTAATTAACCTAAACTTTTTATGGGTTCGAAGACTAGAAGCGGGCTTCTGTCTCCTCTTTCGCATTAATAATAGTTCAAATCTTCCTCGGATTTCAGCATTACCCCTAGTAGTCGCCCATACAATCTTCGCAACTCGTCCTTGATTATACCTCTGCCAGCTTCCTCCACCTCTAAGCGCTCTCTTTTTTTCGCTTTCAGATATACTTTTTTCTGGAATAACCTTCCAATAAATATAAGATCTGCAGATAATCTACATACCTTAAAGAGAAGTTTACGCGTTTATATGAATACTGACTCGATTAAACTTTTATTTTCCTCATCCTTCTTGGACAACTTTCTAAATAACACTGAGAACGGGCCACCGGGAATTTAGGACGCCGCCATTAACTTTCCGTATCTGTTCACATTTCCTCCCTTTGTGAGTCGTATGGCTTCCTAAGATCCCTCACCAGAAATGTTAATTTTTCCAATTTTTCAGTTCATGCATCGTGCCCTCACAGAATGCGCTCCATCGACGCTCTTGGCGAAACATTCTGTATTCGCCATATACTAGTAGTCTGGTCGCATCTCCCTGCCCCATCCTCGGATGGATTCGGATGAATGTAACCGACCGCATCTGGGTTCCTATTGCCTCGAGACTGGTTTTCAATATCGCCACTTATTTGCCTTTTTCAAGGCCGCATGCAGGCCAGTCCTGGCTGACCCACCTACTTACCCCTTCAGGAAATCCGTTGTATAATGCCATATGCACCTGACATTTATTTCTGCCCTGAAGATGTCCGATTATTATCCATTATATACCGCCACATGCAGGCCAGTCCTGCCCGCATTTTTCTGTTATTGCTTTTTTATCGAGGGGTTTTTTCTCCTGTAAAATTGATCTAATCATTTTTTAATTTTCATGTGCCGTTTTTTTCACCCGTCGGTAATCATTTCTCTTAACGGACTACTAATTCAAAAACTATGAATTGCACTTTATACAGATTTTGCCTATCTCATCTAAAATCCGCATGTAAATTTATTTTCACTTGCTCTGATGGGACCACAACGGGCCTTTAATAAAAATTATTATTATTGTGTGTGCCACCCCCAAAACTATTCGGCGGCTACAAATGGCCCGGATGAGATTTTGGTCACGGAAGCAGCAAGTTCAGAGGGAACATGCCGCAACTCTGCATCAATCCAGGCTGAACGCCGCATGAAACGGTATGAGTTTCGATAAAAATTATAAAACACGATTAATATACCGGTGAGATAATTAAAGTGTCGTCCAGGTTACGCAATATAGTCAGAACAAAGCGAGATAGCCGCCACGATGGTTGTCGAAGGTGGTGTGGCCAACAAGAAAAAGATTTCCAAATCAGAGGTCAGGGAAGACGGTTTGAGTTGGACGACATTTATTAATGTACAAGTGCGTACACAAAGGCTCTGTAAGCAGTCGCACCGAGCGAGCTCTCCAGACCGGTTGTGTTCTATTTGTCCGCCTTCGAGGTGCTGAAACCAAGGGCGTGTATGCGCATTTCGTTGTCTCAGCGTCCGC